AGTTCAAATTTCGGCCCGCACAAGGTAATGCATTTAAAATAAAAAAATTCATTAAATATACTAAAAGTTTTCACTACAAAAAGTATCCAAAAAAATTCACAAAGCCCGCTAAATGTTTGTTTCCCATTTTATCAAATTATTTTTCAAGTTTTTAAAATAATTGTTACAAGCAAATTTGTTGTAACTCTTTAACAAATTGGTAAATGACTGCATTTAGATACATTGAGATCTTTCTGTTGCTGAGTTATTTTGTTTTTCAAATAAATCTGTTTCATGTGAACTTACTACTTCGAAATATCAATAAAATATTTTTTCTTTAAACTGAATTAATTTGTTCTCAAACAAATCTGTTTCATGTAAAAAAATCAGCTTAAAATATAAATTAATTTTTTTCTTTAAATTTAGTTACTTTATGTGTTTTTTATTTGAAGCTTTCTACTTTAAAGTATTAGTAAAAATTGTTTTTCTTTATTTCTTTACGCAGAATCCATTTGTTTTTCAGATAAATATTCTACATTATTTATCACGCTCTTCTAAGCGCCAACTTTTTAAGTATAAATGAAATTCACTCTAGCGAATTGTGAGAGAAATTTGCTATTTAGACATTATGTCTCCTTTTCGGCTTTTTTATTTATTTTCTAAGTTTGTCTTAGTCGGAAAAATAATCGGAGATTCTACAAAAACGAGTCTCATTCTTTTTTAATTTCTTTTATCACTGTCGAATAAGCCCTCCAACTTGGTTTGGTTTGGTTTCGTTTCGTTTGTTTTACGGCTTATCAACCTCAGTGAGTTATTTAATGCCGACAAGATTTTTGTTGCTGGTAATTTTTTTTTTACAATTGTATTGTTAACAATTAATTTTTTTGAAAAATGTATTCCTGGTAAATAATTTTTTTTACCAAGTATTTCTGGTATTAAAACCTATTTTTTTAAAATTAGTGTTTTGACAGTTAGTTTAAAATTTTAATATTTACCCATAGCTGGGACCCTAACAGGTGCTACCACCCCGGGTCATGGTGGCCTTGCTGTTGGATGTAGTTTATCGTCTTACCCAGGACGCGGATGCAGTTTATCGTCTTACCCAGGACGCGCCCTCCAACTAGCGAATATCATTTTCTTAATTTCCTAAATTTTAAGAGGGGGTTCAGTTTACGATATAAATTCATTGTAAAGTGATCCCCCTTATGTAAACCAAAAAATATGCTCATAGCACGCGACAAAGCATATTCTTACTTACCTTTATCCCCTTTATTTCCTTTGGTTTCTGGTGTGTAATCATTTCTTTCCGGGTCCATCCCAAACACCTAAGGTCAGAAATGGCATCATGACATTTTCCACTGAGCAATTTAAAAAAATGCCATCACACATATTTTACATAGATAAAGCCCTTCATAAGGTGTGGGCTGTAATTGTGAGAATATTTTTTTTGTATTTCTTTAAAGCATGGGCTTCCAGGAATCCCTTCAATGAGTCTATTGGAATATTTTCCAATGAATCCGAGGGCTCCAACTACAACAGGGATTGTTGATGTTCCCATGTGCCACATTTTTGAGATTTGGATTTCAAGGTCGAGTTGCATTTTGATAGAATTTGAAGATGTTCAAAGATACATTGCAGTCTGCAGGGACTGCCATATCAATAAGGAGACATGTTTTTGTTTGCGGACTCTAATAACGATGTCTGGGCGATTAAATTTCATTGTTCTGTCTGTGTGTATTATGTAGTCCCATAAAATTGCTATAGATCCTATTTCCGTAACCATTGTTTTCCAAATATTATTTTTAGTAGTTGAGTCTCAAATTATTATTTTAGTAGTTGGTGTCGCAAATTTAATTCACAATAAAATTCTGTTCTTGAGACAAGGTATCAACAAGACTCCTCACAAGCCAAGAACGTTTTGGAGAATCTTTGCAGCATAGATGATTGCAGTTTTCTGGAATTCTACAACCTTGATTTCAGTTCCAATTCTTCCCAATTTCTTTTAAATTTTTTTTTTCATGGTGTTCCTTCACCCCCATTAATTTCTTTTAATTCTACATTTTTCCTTCCATTTTTTTTTTTTTAAGTAGGCAGATGAGGAAAATAGTCCGAACAATGTAAATAGTGTAAATAGTTACAATAACTCATCTCAGAAATATAGACGCATCCTGATGAATGCCGCAGCGCAGAAGGGCCGAAACGTCGTGAATATGGCAATGATGATGAATAGTTGCAATACTTCATCTCAGAAATATAAACAGATCCTGATTAAGGCCGGAGCATACAATGGCCGAAACGTCGTGAATATGGCAACAAAGATGGGGTCAGAAAAATATAAATAGTGTAAATAATTACAATACCTCATCTCATAAATATAGATAAACCTCTTTCCCATTGAGGTAACACAAATTGGCAATTTCATTCTTCATCGCATAGTGTCTTACAATAACGACATAATTTGATTTGAAATGCCTGGAATATGAAGACGCTTTAAAATTTAAAAAAATCTGGCACCATGTCATACACTTTTTTGTAGCCTATCGAAGCCATAGAGATTTTTTTCCTTGATATTTTCAACTCATGCAATATGCAGGTTCACCCATGGCCTGGTTCACATTCCTACCCGGTCTTTTTTCTTCTAAAGGCTTATCCTTTTTTTTGTTTTGGGTTTCCGGTTCCTGCTAAAGTCTTTTTTCTTCTCTTTCACTTCCGGTGACAGCTTGCGTCTTGGTGGCATTATCACCTTGCTTGAGGCGAATTAATTAAAAAAAGATCATTGGTATCTCTGGCTCTTCAGTAATTTTAATGATTAAGACTCCAAATGAAAATAAATCTCCTCTGCTATGATATCAACTTCGTCATCAACTTCTAAACTAATGGGCATGTCATTGGTCGATAGTTACTTGCTAGCTTTCCTTTAGTTTTTGTCTACCTTTTATTTCTGTTGTATAAACATTTCCTTCCGGGTCCACACCACAAACCTAAGGTCAAAAATGGCTTCATGACGTTTTCGTCTGATCATTTTTTGTAAAAAAAAAGACAACCCAATGTTACATAGATAAAGATCTTTGTAAGGTGTTAGATGGACTTCAGAGTACAATTTTTTGTGTTTCTTTAAGGTATAGGCTACCATGAATCCCTTCAATGAGTATATCAAATCTTTTCCAACCAATCCGAGGGCTCCATCTACAACTGGAATTACTGATATACCTCCGATTTCTTCTTCAAGATCCTTGTATTTTGATAGCTGTTTTGAACATCTTCAAAATACATTACAATCTGTAGGCAATGATATGTCAAGTTTTATATAGGAATAAATTGTCACTGTTGACACTGCAGTTTGAACATAGATAGCCATTGAGAAAACACAGGAGGTCCAATTTTGTATAAGTAGATCACGTGATAATAAAGGAAATGTATATATAAAAATTAGCGTGGGGTCCAGTTGATCACTATTTCTACTCTATCCTCTATGACTATACGGATCACTCTTTCTACACTATCTGCTATTCTCTAAACTATTCACAATACTATTTCTCTATATTGGTCACTATACGGATTACTATTCGGATCAATATTCGGTAGTTATTAGTTTGCGAGTATTATCGAGCAAGTACTATTGGTGCGAGTGTTATTCGAAGGCGTCTGACACAAGCATTGTTCTACGGCGTTACTATAGTTGTATCTGCGATTACAAAGTCTCTACTACAAAGAGCATTACTAAAATGACACAGAGTATTCGTTGACATTACAAAAGGATCAACGAGTGTTCACTGACATCCCAAAAGTGACAACGAGTATTCGTTGACATGACAAAAGGTTCAACTAGTGTTCGTTGACATCGCAAGAATAAGAAAGCACATTCTGTTTTTGTGGTCTTTGATCACGATGCCTGGGCGACTATCTTTGATTGTTCTTCGTGTGTGTATTGTAAAGTCTCATTATTACAGGTCCTATCTCTGTAACCTGGTCTGGCTGATGTTCATGCCAGTTTCTTGGGATTTCCTGCCCTTAAAAGTAGCAGATGTTCCGGGTCCCGCCCGGGGACCTAAGGTTAGAAATTGCATCATGACACTTTCCACCGACAAAAAAACAAAAAACAAAACAATTACATAGATAAAGCCCTTCGTAAAGTGTGGGCTGTACTTGTCAGAACAATTTTTTGTATCTCCTTGAGGCATGGACTTCCAGGAATCCCTTCAATTAGTCTACTGCAATCTTTTCCAATCAATCCTAGGTCTCCAACTACAACAGGGATTGTTGATGTTCCCATATGCCACATTTTCGAGATTTCTATTTCAAGGTCCTTGTATTTTGACAGCTTTTTGAATATCTTCAAAGATACATTGCAGTCAGAAGGACTGCCATATCAACAAGGAACCACCGTTTTTGTTTGTGGTCTTTAATAACAATTTATTATTATTATTATTATTATTATTATTATTATTATTACTTGGCTGTATTTCCTTTAATAAATTTATTTTTTTGTTGGGGAGGGCAGCTCAGTTACATAAAACTGAAACTGTAAAAATTATTTTTTTAATATTCATGGTAGTGTCATCGATGGTAATAAGAAATGAAAATAGAATTATTATTCGGAGAGGGGCGTTTCTGTAAAAAGAAAAAAAAACAAAACAAAAAACAACAAAAAAAAAAGACAAAAACAAAAGTTTGAATGATGGGGTATCCACTTAAGATTGAACACTTACACTTCGGAAGTGTTTTCCAAAGCAAAATACTTAAATCATTATTTATTATATAAATCCTGGATATTTCCATTCTATTCTATTGAATAAGAACATTTGGAATAGAAGTGGTACTTTGAAATACTAATTGTGGCAATTCAAAGGGATGAAGTGAATTTCTTCAATGGAAGAGTAGAAAATTCGTCACTCACCTAAGAGAATTATTCCAAATTTGTTCAGACCAGTTGCCATTTGGACTTTTAATCAAATTTTATCCTTTTTTTTTCAATTTGCGTTTTCAATTTTTATCTATTTTTTTCACATTTTATATATTTTATGTTTCTCTTTTGTTTCTTTCTTCTTTTTTTCTTCTTCTTCTTCTTTTTTCTCCTTCTTCTACTCAAACTTCTTCTCCTCGTTCATCTTTGTTTTTGTTATTGTTTTCCCTCTCCTCCACTTCTCCTCTCCTTCTTTTTCTTCCTCTTCTTTTTTCTTTTTCTTCTTCGCCTCATCATTCTTCTCCTCCTCATTCTTCTTTGTTGTTGTTTTTCCTTCTTCTTTTCCTTTTTCTTTTCCTTCTTCTTCTTCTTCTTCTTCTTCTTCTTCTTCTCTTTCATCTTTGTTGCTGGTATTCCTCTTATTATTCTCCCTTTTTCATCTTTTTTTCTTCTTCTTCTCATCATCCTCATCCTTCTCCTCCTCATTCTTCTTTGTTGTTATTATTATTATTATTATTATTGTTGTTCTCCTCCTCCTCCTCCTCGTTCTTCTTTTCTGTTCGTGTTTTTGTTGTTGGTGAGATGTTGTTGTTGCCTTTGTTCTCGTCCTTCCCATTCTTTCTTCTTGCTAGTATTGTTGTTCTACTTTTTTTCTTTCTTCTACATTTATTCCTCTTCTTTTTTGTTGTTGTTCCCCTTCTTCTCCTCCTCCTCCTTCTTCTCCACCTCCTCCTCATTCTTCTTCTCCTCCTTCTTCTTCTTCTTCTCCTTCTCCTCCTTCTTCTTCTTCTTTGTTGTTGTTGTCCTTCTTCTCCTTTTACTTCTTCTCATTTTTCTCCTTCTACTTCTTTTTCTCCTCCTCCTCTTTCTTCTTTGTTGTTGTTGTTATTCTTCTCGTTCGTTTTTGTCGTTCTTCTATTCTACGTCGATTTTCTTTGTTGCTGGTATTGCTGCTGTTGTTGCTCTTCTTCTTCTTCTTCTTCTTCTTCTTCTTCCTCTTCTCATCCTGCTTCTTCTCATTCTTATTTGTTGTTATTCTTCTTCTTTTTTTTCTTCTTCTGCTTCTTTTCTTTTTCTTCTCCTTCTCATCCCCCTTCTTCTTTTTCTTCTTCTCCTCCTCATCCGCTTTTTTGTTGTTCTTGCTACTCTTGTTGTTGTTGTTGTTGTCGTTGTTGTTGTTGTTCTTCTTCTTTGTTGCTCTTCTTCTTCTTCTCCTTCTTCTTCTTCTTTGTTGCTGGTATTGTTGTTGTTGTTCCTCTTCTTCATCTCTTCCTCTTTTTCTTTCTTCTTTGTTGTTATTCTTCTCCTTCTCCGTTTTCTTCTTCTCTTCCTTTTTTCATTTTCTTCTTCTCTTCTTTCTTCTTCTTTGTTGTTCTTCTCTTTTTTACTGTTCTACACTTTATTTGGTTCTCTTTCTCATGCTCTTTTCTTCCCTTTTCTTTTTTTTCTCCTTTTTTTAATATTTCCTTTTATTTTTCATATTTTCTTTTTTTGTTTTATATATATTTCTTTCTATATATATATATATATATATATATATATATCCTTACATTTTGGAGGTTTACTTGCTTCTCATTTTTATTATACTTTGTTTCTATTTTTGTTTCTCTCTTATTTATCATCCCATTTCATTCATTCCTTTCTTAGTTTATTTTAATTCTTTAACTCAATAAATTCTTTACTTCTCAATATTTACTGCTTAATTTGACACACTTGGTAGGAAGACTATATTGCGCAAGTCTTCTAAATGGTGAAGATATACCTGCGTAGAAAATTGAATATCTTGCCTTCTTATGAGACACAAACACTGAGCGTTGGCCTCGCTGTGAAATATGCAACTGTTTCAGACACAAGTTTTTGCCTTTATTTGTTTAGATATTTTTATTGTCTTTTTGGTTTTAACGGATACCTGCCGGATTCCAAATATTTCTGTTTAAATTCTTTCATTTTGTTTTCTTTTACTTCAAGTCTTGCACCTTTACATATCTTCTTCTTTTTCTTCTTTTTCTTCTTTTAGTTTTCTTCTCTTTTCGTTCTTTTTTGTTTTTCTTTATCTTCTGCTCTTTCTTCTTCTTCTTCTTCTTCTTCTTCTTCGTTTTCATTACTGATTTTGTTTTTCGTCTTTTCCTACATTTAGTTCTTGTTCTTTTTCTTTTTCTTTTTCTCTTAAGAATTCAGTACTCATTCCTTTTTCTTCTCAATTTCCATTTAATATATTTTTCGTTCTTCTTTTTCTTCTTCTTTTTCATCTCCTTCTCCTCTTCGTTGTTCTTCATTATTGTTGCTGTTATTATTATTATTATTCTCTTTCTTTTTTCTCCGTCTTTTTGTTAATTTTCTTCATCTTCTTCTCCTCCTTCTCGTTCTTCTTTCTTGTTGTTGTTCCTCTTCTACTTTTTTCTTCTTTTTTTTTTCGTTCAATTATTCGTTCGTTTTATTCTTACTTATTTCATTGACGTCTTTCTTTTCATTTATGCCTTTCTCTCTTTTTCGTACTCTTTTCTTTATTCTCTCTCATCTGATTTTATCCACCAAAATTTCTTTTTCGTTTTTTTTTTTATTTTCTTTTCCAAACTTTCGTCTCTTTTAACAATTTGTTTACAATCCTTTTAGTCCGCTTTCTATCATCATTTACTTTTTTGAATCGTTTTCCTTTTTATTTTTATCCTTTTGTTCTTTTAATTTTTTCATTTTTTCTAAAATTTAGTTGCTTATTCTTCTTTTTTAAACTTTGTTTTATCATCTTTATTTTTCATTTTTTCTTCTTTTCTTCTTTTCTTTTTTTTTTCTTCTTCTTCTTCTTCAATTTCAGTTTTCTTCTTCCATCTATCTTTTTTTTTTTTCTCTTCTCTTTATTTTTCGGTGACCTTTTTGTTTTCGTTACTTTCTCTTTCCTTCTTTATTTTCTTTTCTTTTCTTTTCCTTTTTTTCTTCTTCTTATTTACTTTTTCCTTCTCATGCATCTTTCTTTTTCTTTTCCTTTTCCCATGCTGCTTAAAAAGGTTTTCGTTCATTTCTTTCATTCAATATTTTCAACAACCTATTTCTTCCTCTGTGCTTTCAAACACAGTCTATCTCTTTATTTTTTTTTTAGCCGAAAATTACGGAAAAGAATTTCAATGCGTTGATAAAGAAACTGTGCTTTGAGCCAAACGTATGATGAAATCCATGACACGACTGAGTAGAATTCTGTTGAGATCAAATCGACAAAACTAATAAAACAATGAACCCCTTCGGTCACCAGACAAGTTGTAAGTACATTACTTTATCTCATCTCGAGATAATTCAATTGGTATACGTGATTATAGCTCTGTGGCAGAGCAAGTGGCTGCGTTTACATCGCAAGTTCGATCTAAGACGTTATATTGAGAAGCGGTCGCGTTTTACTCTCTACTATAGATTTTCTTCTCTTCTTTTCTTCTTCTTTCTAATTTTATCCTATCTTTATTTTATTTTATTTTTTAAAAACCCTTTTCCAATTTTTCTTTATAATGTCCTTTCCGTTTTTCGTCTCTTCTCTTCGTTTTTTTTTTAACCTTTCAAATCTTTCTTTGTTCATTTCTTTACTTTTTTTTTGTGCTTTCTGTTTTGGTCGCCAACTTTTTTTTTTTTTTTAATTCTGTCTTTCTTATTTCTTTCTCTTAAACAATTCGTTCGTCCAATTATTTGACGTCATTTTATTGATTTTTTTTTATCCTTTCGTCTTTTTTAAAAAATTTTCAAGTACCAGACCTTTTTCTTTTTCAAATTTTTCTTTCTTCTATTTGTCGTCTCTTTTATGTTTATTCCGTTCATTTTACAAAAAAGAATGTTTTCATTTTTTTCTTTCTTTTTTTGAATTTTTTATCCTTTTTTTTCTTACCAATATTTTTAATTTAGCCTTAACAAACGTTCTATTTCTCGCTATCTTTTTCTTTTTCATCTATTCTTCTTTTGTTGTTTTTATTTATTCGCTTTTTGTTTCTTTCTTTTTTCATTATTATCATTTCTTTTTTTTCTTTCTTTTTTTTTCTTTCCTTATTTCAATATTATCTTCTTCGATTTTTTCTTTCTATCTTTCTTCCTTTTCTTTCTTGTATCCTTTTCTCTCTCTCTCTCTTGGCGTCTTGTTTTTTCTTTTTTCATTTTATCTTATTCACCATTTCTTTATTCCAAATTTGTTTCCTCTTTTACTTATTTATGTTTTTACTTTTATCGTTTCTTTCTGTTTCATCATTTTCCTTTTCTTTTTTCTTTTCTTTTTTCTTTTTCTTTTTTTTTTAACTCTTTTATTTAATTTTTGTCCGTTTTGATTTCCATTGATCCCCTTTGTCATTATTTTTTGTTCTCGTCTGCTTTTTTCTAAAAGAGTCCAGAAGAACATAGTCGAAAGCTTTGTGCGGAGATAGTTGTGTATTTTCTATTGACGCCAGAGGTCAGAGTTCAATTACAGATTTTTTTTAAAATTTGAATCACTGTTTTTTTAAATCTTCCCTGACCTTTTTTTAATTGGAAGATTGATCCAACACAGTTTTCCTGAATCAACTTTAACCTTGTGCCATATTAACCTGAGCTTATCAAATAAAACGTAAACGATCTATCGACTCCACCTATATTTGTCTCGGCATGTTTACGGTTGTGTGAATGTTCAAAGTTTCACTTGAACGTCGGGTTTCAAAAGCCAAAACCTTAATACAACTGAAGGGCATGACATTCTAGACCAGAAATGGACAATCGCAAAACACAGACAGGCGTCTTTCTATGAAGATGATGTAAATGTTCCCCCGTGCACAACGTCGGCAAACTTTGAGTCGTACATTTTACTCAGTTTTTTTTATTGCGTGGCAAAGCAGTTAAATTTTACAAACCTTAGGAGAAAAATCAGAATCTGAGAAACTGGCATCTTTAAGAATTTAGAGGAAGAGATATTTGTCTTTGTCTTCTTATACGAGATGAAGCGCTAAAAACAACTTTCAACGATGTTATTGAAGACATTCTTTATTCATTTTACCCTAAGCAAGGAAATAAAGCCAATAATATCCAAGAGGTTTACTGAGTATGAGAAAAATTATTAAAGGGAGGGAGAACAATAAAAGAACAAAAATTAAGAAGACAGAAGATAATGATTGACATTGCATGTCCATTTTAGAAGATCGAAGTTGACAGAATTCGAGAAGCCGGAAGAGAGTTCTGCAATCGAAAAGTGTAACAGAAGAAACTGTTAGCATAGAACTTACGGTTATATCTAGCCATTTCTATTGTAAGATGTTGAGACCTTGGCGCCAATCCAGTACTGCGCTTAAATTCATAAAGTCTAGGTCCCATAGAGGAACATTCAGAAGAACAATTACTATGAAAGTATTTATAGAAAAAGCTCATGGATGCTACGTTACGGTGGCTGGAAAGAAACTGAAGCCGAGATGCCAGGTCAGGACCAGTAACATTGAAGATTCTTCTTTAGATTTTATCATGAATTTCTAAATATATTGTAGAAGTAACATACTATATCTGGCAGCAATATTCAAAGCATAGAATAAAAGTAATGTTATAAATATGTAAAATAGATTCTGTCAAGAAAAATTGTCCTTTTGTGGTGGGGGCAGAGCATTCTTATAAAAGAAATTAAACTGTTCATTAGAAAGACTTTTTTTTAAAAGCATTTCACCCCAAGAAAGGCAGGAGTGCCACTAGCATGCAAGAGGTTACAGAGAGTGAGAGCATGAGTAAAGAGGGGTGGTTTGAGTAAAGGATATAGAGAAGGACGGGGATCAAGATCAAGGAAGATGTTGATTGACATTACATTTGAATATTTGAAGATTATAGATATCAGGAAAGCAAATAAGAGGAAGGGAGTTCCACTGTCGGGAAGTGCGAGAGAAGAAGCTGTGGTTACATTTAACTTTTTCGACAATGAAAGGGTGGGACCGAGAAACTAGTAGCACGCTTAAATTCAGTTGGGGTACCAGTGAAAGTAGCTCGTCAGAGCAGTTGCCACGAAAAATATTCGTAGAAAAGACAGAGGGAAGCCACATCATGTCTATGAGAAAGAAACTGTAGTCGAGATGCCAGGTCAGAACCAATAACATTGAAGATTCTTCCTTTTATCAAGAATCTCTAAATATGTTGTAGAAGTAACATACTATATGTGACAGCAATATTCCAAGCATAGAATAAATGTAATGTTATAAATATGTAAAATAGATTCTGTCAAGAAAAATTGTCTCATTTTTTTTTTTTTTTTTTTGGGTCAGAGCATTCTTATAAAAGAAATTAAACTGTTCATTAGAAAGACTTTTTTAAGCATTTCACCCCAAGAAAGGCGTGAGTGTCACTAGCACTCAAGGGGTTACAGTGTGAGAGTAAGACTAAAGGTGGGGGGGTTGAGGAAAGGATAAAGAGAAGGACAGAGAACAAGATCAAGGCATCAGAAGATGTCGATTGACATTACATTTGAATATTTGAAGATTATAGCTATCAGGTAAGAGGAAGGGAGTTTCACTGTTGGGAAGTGCGAATGAAGAAGCTTTTGGAGTAGAAGAGGCGGTTACATTAAACTGTTTCGACAATGAAAGTGTGGAACCGAGATGCGAAACTAGTAGCTCGCTTAAATTCATGCAGTTTGGGAACCAGTGAAAGTAGCTCGTCAGAGCACTTGCCATGAAAAATATTTGTAGAAAAGACAGAGGGAGCCACATCACGTCTGTGAGAAAGTGACTGCAAACGAGATGACAGGTCAGGACCTATCACATTGCATATCCGTATCTGGATTTTGTCGAGGACCTCGAGATAAACAGCGGGGGCACAAGACCATATATGGCGACAGTATTCAATGTAATGACGATATGTAGATTTGAAGGATGCACTCAGAAGAGAAAAAAACCTTCTGGCGCGATTGTCTCGAAATTTTTCCTTCTCTTTTAGAATCTTAAATTTCCTTTGCATCTTGACAATAAATATATAAAACTTACGATTCGAACACGAAAAAGATAATGGTACCTATATTATGAAAATGATGACTGCATAAACTACATGTTGCTGTCTGGATTTCTAGAATGTCTAGGATTTCTAGAATGTCTAGGATTTCTAGAATGCGATAGCAACCTAGTGGATTAAGG